AAAGGCAGGAGGTTAGAAATTAGGGTTTTTGCTTTAAAGGGTTCTTTTTTCTGGAGAAAGGAAATGACTTACGATTTCAAGACTTGTCGGCTCTTTTCTTTCATTTTATTATCCACTATGGATGGTATTGGTTCTGGAGTTTTCGCCAGAGCTATAGAATTGGTCAGAAGAGAGAGCTTTTTAGTTACTTAGTGTCTACTTGCGTATAGGGTTGGTATCTGGGGCTGTCTGTTCTACGCTTTGATGTCTTTTTCTATATATAATATTCAGCATTGAGGGTAGAGTAGACTCTCGTTTTGTGTGTGTGTGTACCTTTCTTGTCTTAGTGCATATTCTAGCATTTTAACTCGTTTCATCATGGTTATCTTTATATTTTCTACACCTCTTCGTTCCCCTTCTAATAAAGCTATACGAGCCTAAAAAATAAGAAGCATAAGCTTTTTATGATCAACCCAACAAAAAAAGCTCCCATCTTACTTGTAGCTCGGCTCTTTCAATAGCCCATTCATTCTTTTCACGTTCGAATTTTCTCCATTCGGCTTGCAAGTAATGCAATACGCCCGGTAAGCTATATTCAAGTGTTTGTTCTGACATTTATATAAAATTAAAATTAGAAGGGATATACAACCATCAATAAAAAAAAAAGAATCGATGAATTAAGAAAAAGATGAGCACTTGAGAGAAAAAAAGGGAGTAACAATAAAATAAAAAAAATAAAAAAAAATAAAAAATGACGCAACTTTTTCAAGTGTTAAAGGGAGAGTTTTTGCAAATAGTGTTGGAGTCACGCTTACGCTTCGATAGAAAAAGGCTAAAAGGACGATACTTATGCTCTTCACGTGCTTACAGTCACTGTACCTATGCACACTACTAACTTAAACAACTGTGACCATGGAAACTCATAGTAAGAAAAAAAAAGCTTTATTATGCAACATAGCTATACATATCCTTTTGATTCTCAACACGTTCAATATACTCCTTTTCTAAAAGGACATCGATACATTTCTTGATAGCAGGCACACGAGGCTTGAATCTGGATTGTAACTGCGTAATGACTTCTTCTATAAGTGCCACATGCTTCATCACCTTACGCGTCTTCATGATACGAACAATAGCAGCCTGCATCACAAACATACGATCCTCTTCAATTGTCTTATGAGTCTCATCCGTCTCTGCCTTTTGTTCCATACGCATTTGCATGTTCAAATTGATACGCACTTTTTTGCTCTTAAAATCATGGTTCAGCACATACCGAGATCCTGCATCCCCCACATTCTCCGCGTCTTTCAAGATGAGTACTTTAGCCTTGACAAGAATACCGAGAGCTGGGTTCAAAGCTTCGGGTGCAAGAGCTGTTGACTTATGAAGTTCTTCATATGTACAGCTATCCGTCGTATTAAATTGAAGAAGGACACCCATTTGATAAGCAGACACCATAAATGTATATCCTACTTTACTCGCCTTAAGATAATGCGTTTTTAATTCTGCCTTGGATAATTGGAAAAGCCAGTTCAATTTACGACCCGAGTGCTTGTTTTGATAAAACTTTTGGAATCGATCATACATTTTAACCACATCATCAGGTAAATTGAAGGAAGTAGAAGGGGCAGACAGAGGCCAAGAACCAGCACCAAGAACAAGAATATTGAAATCGGCGCCTTGTGCAGATTCGGGGTTTTGTTGTACTAAATCCTTGAACTGATCATTCAATTCTTTGCTAAGTGACATATCCGTCAACATACGTTGTAACTTGCTGGTATATTCAAAACCGCAAGCTTCTTTTAATTTCGAAATCATGGATCCTTCAGCATCATCAGACGCAGATGTACCATTGACAAGACGTTTAGCCAACATCTTGCTATAAAACTTTTGAAAGACATCTTTATCTTCAACGTATTTAAAGACAGTCATCACATTATTCAAGACATCTTCCAATTCATCTTCCTCGGGGTTCTTGGCACTCTTCTTTAACAAACCATCACAGAAGCGAGCTAGTAATTCGGGAGATTTGTTGGAGGCTCCCTTACAGACCTTGTTACGATTAACGAATTCGCCACAAGCTTTATCCAATGCGGCAACAAAACCAGCCTCGCCACTAAAAGCAGACTGAACCAAATCATTGTATTTCTTGTGTACTTCTAATAAAGTATCGACATAACTCTTGGGGTCGACGGGTTCGGATTCGTTTTGGGAGATACGTTCAATAGCGGAGAGGCCAGCTTTCTTGACATGCGATTCGAAACTGACACGTAAAGGATTAAGACCATCGGTGATACGAGCCAAAAGTGAATACATGCGATGTAAATCATCTTGTTTGTCTGCATTTAATAATCCTTGGAAGCCATCCCAGATACTTTCCTCTTGGTTCTTGACGAGGACAGTTTCACAAATAGGGATCAATGATTTATGAGTGGTAGGATGAAGATACATTTGAACTCTACCCTCTTCTTCATTTAATCTTGTTTCGGCCTTCTTCATGTAATCTGGGATACTATTCTCGCTAATGAATTTCTCGGATTCTGTCTTGTAGTAAACTTCGGTGGCCTCAATGAATTCTTTTTCAAAGTAATCTCTGTATACATCCAAATTCGACTTTGAGGAATCGTTATGATCCAAACCCAAGGACACTTTTTTTTGAAGGGGATGTTAATGGATGTAAAAACAATGGTTATATGAGACAATTTACCGAATGAATCAACCACGTTCTTGATAAGACCAGTCTCAATAACTTCGCCATTTCTTTGTTTGGTGATCAATTTCAGAACCGCAGCAATCACATTATGGTTAACGTATTCAAACATGTACTTTTTCCAGCTCACCAAAGTCAGCTGTTGCGATAGTTTTTTTTTTTTAGTGAGAGAAGACAAAAAGAAAAAACCGAATACTTACGGTAAAGACATCATAGACATCACTCTTTCGATCCTCATCAATCTCTCGTTTCACCCAATAACGATTCAGGTACATGAAAATATTATTGACGACACGAGCAGCAGCGGTATATCGAGTCCATTGCTTGGTGTAATACTGTAATAAAGATTCATCCATGTATTGCTCACTTTCCTTTCGAATCTTTTCCAGGTGATTTTGAAGGTATGTGCTCAAATGGAGGTACACTTCACCACCAATTAAAGGCGGTGCGGGGGCGGCTTTCAGTGTTAAGAGGAAAGAATATTATATTATTAAAAAAAAACGCGTGGATAGGGAAAGTTTACTTACGACGGCGAGAGTTGGGGCCACCAGGTGAGGTGATGGCACTGTGTAAATTGGTATCACTTCTAGCACAATAATTATGAACAGCACTACAACCCAATAGTAAAAGGTTTAACGAGGAGGTTCTAGATTGACTTGTATAACACTGTTTTACCTATACAAAATGGAGTAACGTGTACGATCAAGACCTTGCTCAAAACGTGTCATGATTTGGTCAAGACCTTCTTCTAAAAAGGCCCAGGTTGCATTAAAGTCATTACCAGGAGGTAATTGCATGGATGTCATGATGCTATTATGTATATGAAGAAGGGTTTTGAGAATAAAGAAAGAAAAAAAAAAGAAAGGAGCTTCCAGGAGAGAGACAAAGAGAAAGATTAAAAAAAAGGACAAATACGTCACACCCAAACTACAAACACTACACTTCTATTTCTTTTTTTCTATCCCAGCTTTGCATTGATTTTGCATGCGAGTTTTTTTTTTATTGTTTTAATCTTCCTCTGAAGCAGAACCTTCTGCATCATCGTCCTCTTCATGGTTGGCAATATCCGAATCATCCTAATAATTTTGACCATCCCACGTTATTATTATGTTCGAAATAGAATGTGATCGACAACTTACCATGTTGTAAGCAACACTTGCTCCGTCTAATTTATCGATGATATCCTTGTACTTTGGGTTACAAATCATGATGGGTGTCATCTTGTTTCGATTTGTAATGCTATATATATAAATATATAAATGTCAGTGTATGCATGTGGGTGCTTGTGGGTGCGTACGTGTGCATAATAAAGGGGCGAGAGAGAGACTTGACTTACTTGGGATCAGCACCGCCTGCTAACAATAAATCAATCATGGCAAATGCCATGTCGTGTTCCTTGTTGGCATATTGAACTGCTAAATGTAAAGGAGTATCGCCTCCTATTCTATCTTGAATATCGAGATCAACTTCGTCATGATTCACAAGGACTTCCAAGCAGCCGATGCTACCAGCCTTAACGCTTATATCAGATGGTCGAATTAGTTGGAAATACGCAGTAACAAGAAACATGAATAAACTTACGCATAGTGAGCAGCCGAGTTCCCGGTACCATCGGTAAAAGAAACATCGCAATGACCTTCGTCCAGTAACAGTTCTAATTCTTCCTCTTGGTCACCTCTGCATAAGGACAACATGAGTTCATCTAAACCAATAGCGTGAATATTGGCGGGGTGAAAAAAAACAAGACAGATAGGATGAAAACTTACTGGGAGATGCTCCTTGATATTCGGTCATTTCGAGTGTATGTGTGTGTGTTGGAGAGAGTTGGAATAAAATAAAGGGGGGAGGAGTAGCAAAATAGTTCTCGGTATAAAATTAAAAAAATAAAAAAATGATGTCGTCACACCCGTCATTTCGCTTTATTCTTTATTCGTTGTGATATGTGTGTTGTATTTGGCATTTGGGTCGTACTGAGCAACCATTAATGATCGGTTATCTTATAAATTATTGGTGGAGAAAACCATGCTACTGGTAGACGATCCCACTGTAATTAGGTATATTCTACACTGTCTAAACGTATTTTTGAAACACATAACATAATTTTATCAGCTGTATATTGTGGTGGTGGTGGATTACGAAATATCACCCGCATGTGTAGGACCGCATCATGCCATTGTTCAGGCTAACAAAACACGTTCTGCTCAAATCGTATGTTTATTGCATTTTGGCTGATATTAACACATGGATTATGCTCTGGACGCAATGCATCTGCCACAGGAACTTACTCGGAAATCACCTTATTTTTTGTGCTGTTTGTACTGATAGATAGGGCGCGCTCGTATTCCGTACTTTTACCTCGATTTTTAGATGCTTATATCTCGTAGTGACAATGGTATGTATGTGATCTAAAAGATAGATAACCTCCGATTAAGAAGAGATGGAAGAGGTACTGCTGCCAGTGAAATATCTGTTTTTAGGCGGCTATGAAAAAAAAGACGATAGAAAGGCAAAAAGGCAATCAATTCAAGATGGTACAAAGAGAAAACGTGTGTGGTCTCATAGCAATGACTCCGCACATGGCTACAATGATTTAAAATGAATTGGAAACCAGATTTGAACAACCCTTTGTGAACCAATAGGATGGCATGTAGAAAAGGACTGAAAGGAAAAAAAGTGCCGCACGGACCAATATGTTACGGGAGTAAAAAAAATATATTTCTTATTTTTTTCCTCTCTTTATCTATTCTTTTTTCTTTTTATTTAATGAAATCACATGAGTTATACTCCACCCCATTCACATAATCGACATTCCTCGCTTGCCACTGTCTATGAAGACAATGACCCATACCGCATAGTAAAGAAGAGTCCTCGCATCGGTAAAAGCTTTTTTATTATTAGACTTATGAATTGCCTATTAACCATAATGAATCATGTAGGGTCCATTTCAGACAATAGTTCCGATTTCGATGCAGTTCATTCACGCACAGCTTCCGACAGCAGTACTAGTCGACTATACAGTGGCCAAGTGGAATTTGGACAAGATCCTTATGCCAACTGTAAAAAGAAGTTAAAATTAAACGAAGAACGAGCCAACTCATATTTACCCTATTCACATCATGAACGAGACCCTCGACAACAACAAAGCTGCGAACCAATGTATATAGAAGAAGAAAATGGAGCACCTGCGTCTACTACTTTAGGCATGGGATCTATTCTGTGCGATACCATGATGGAATTACCAGCTTCACGCATCAAGGAAAAGCAAGTGGATACGACGTTGAGTGATGACTTTGGTTTATCTACACAGAAAAGACGTAAACGACGAAGGACAGTGTGTGGTATGCGATATAGGTCTTTAGTCCTCATTTGTTTATTATTTATTACTACCGTTGTCATCATTTGGTATTTTGTTTGGCCACGTATCCCTAATTTAGCACTGGATGATGTAGATAATTTGGGGACTATTCAAGTCCTCACCAATTCAACAAAGAAATCCATGTCTACACAGTGGGTGTTAAATATGACGGCAGATAATACAGCTAATTGGGTCCCCACTCGTATAAATGCCATTGATATCATCATTACCGATGATAAAACAAAGGAGTCGTTTGGCACAGGCAGTTCGGGATGGCTTGTTTTACCGCCCAAAAAGAAAACAATGATACCTGTCTTTATCGATATCTATTACGAGACCTATAATGTCAATGATACCACTTTTCAAGACCTGTATAATGCTTGTGGAGTACAAGTCAATTCTAATGCTCCCTTTGAATCTAAACAAGGTGTTTTGAATGTCACTTTATCCGTCACCTATCATATCTCTGGCATTGTTTGGCCAACCACCAAACAAATGCACATTGATAGTCTCATCTGTCCTACAAGCTGATCATATAAAAATACTTCTATACCCATCCATCCCATCTCAATAAAATTCTATTAATAGCCTCTCTCTCTCTCTCTCTCTCTCTGTCTCTGTCTCTCTATTATTTTTTCTATTATCGCTAACCTTATTTTTTCTCCTTGTTTAGTCGATCTCCCTTTCACACACACAAACATATACACACCCACACACCCACGCATACTCACTTACACACAAATAGGAGGACCCTTTGGTTGCCGTCAAAATTATGACACTTTTTTTTAGTACACACAAACAAGAGGAGTTTCGGTGTTTAGTTTTACCGTGCCCGTGTAACTTAATTTTCCTCTCTCTTTAATGTTACACTATCGGCAAGCGGGATTCTTTTTAGCAAAGAAGAAGTGAACCTCGTTTTTTTTTTTCTTCTTTGCAATTCCAAAAAGCATAACAACGACTTAAAAAATTCTACCATTTATTCAACCTTGAACTTTTTTTTTGTAGCACCTAAAAAAAGTTTTCATTTAAAAAAAGGAAAGAGGGAGAACAAGTGATATTTTCTGCAAAAATTGCAAATGTGGTACACACGGAAAACTTTTTTATATATATTTTCTTGCTGTTCCTGGAATATGTGATTAAATCTTGGCATCTGTTAATCGAATTTCATCATCATACACACAACACGAACAGGTTAAACGGCAGCTGATGTTATGGGCTCAAGAAAATAAACTCGTGAGTAATAAATACTCACATGTTCTAGACTCTTTACTAGATACCATGCCGTCATACATGTACCCAAAAATCCCAGTTTTATTTGTCATACTCCACGCTTTTTTGACAGCAGCAGCGTGGGGTTTTCGTTTTAGTCTCAAACATACACTTGGCAACCTATACTAACCTTTTTTTGGTCTAATGAATCTTGTACCCACTCTCCCTCGGCCCTATATCATTAAAACAGAGTACTTGTTGGTTGCCATTATACCAATATCTTTACTGCCTTTTTTTTTCTCGGTAAAGGAAACCGACTAGTATTATCTTTGTAGGGTTTCAACCACAGTCATCAGACCATCTGTTCACGCACACATGCACCTGACATTACACCTAATGAAACCTTGTTTATCTCCCAACAAAAATAAATTAATGCAAATATATTGATGTGTCTAATCTATCAGCCAATCAAATATCAAATTCGGTCCATTTTTTAAAAGCGTCATGCGTGAGGGTTTATTATTTTTCTATCCTTAACCAAAAACATGGAGCTGAAAGGATCTTGTCATTGTGAGAAAGTCTCCTTTAAAGTACTCTCTCATACACCTGCACCAGTAAGTAAGCTTCTCAGGTATTAACTAAGCCACATTCTAACGACAATACGTGTCTTAGTTTATGCAATGCTACTGGTAATCAGAAATAAACGTCCTCTTCATTTAAAAACACTGACGACTCTCCTTTATAGTTCTATTTGTCGTAAATGCCAAGGTGGTGGAGGCTATGCTATCAACATTATGGGCCAGGTAACTATGAAAGATCATTTTAACCCCTTCCATTTTTAACGCGTAAAACTTTAGTACAAAACGCTCGAAATATTAACAGGAAAGGAATATCTAAAGTAAGATTATGTATTCATCTTTCTCATTCTCTTTCCCTCTCTCCTAAATAACACCAATGGTAAAAATAGAGGATATCAAGCAATGAAAGACAAAAAGAAAAAGGAATTAGGGTAACACACATACCCAAATGTATCAATCGGAAATAAATAAAAAAACTCACACAAAAGTAGTGGCAATATAAGATACTTTTGTAGTGAATGTGGATCCCACTTGTATGCCTATGATAAGCAATGGGCAGAATGGGTCTATCCGTTTGCTTCTGCTATTGATACACCTTTACCTCAATTGGATCCTAAAACCCAGGTATACAAGATCATGCTAGACTCAAAGGCGAATTGGGTAGATGTACCTGATCCTAACAAGGAGGCACATGCTTTTGAAGCGTATCCTGATTGCTCTTTAGAGCAATGGCATAAAGATAACGGGCAATACATTGAATAAAAAGAGCTTATAGTACATTTGAATATCAGGCGTAAAAGCATATTTATATTAAGGGTGTGTTTGTTCGGGATATAATCCATTGTTATATCGCACTCTTTTTCTGGCACGGAGGATTCTTGTTTACATAGATATCTCTCTAATAATAGCTGCCATCCAGATTAATTTTGGAATCAGTTTGAAACGAAACATCTGCTTTTAGCTATACAGATGAAAAAAAAAAAGTAAAATGGCTTTGACTCTGATGAACTTAATTCAGGAAAGCAACCTAATGAGAGTAAAGCTATTTACGGTAGAACATTCAAAAGGAGCACAAAAAAAAATCTTCAAGAGCAGGTCTACGTGAGTATCAGATAGCTAAAATCTGGAAAGTCAGAAGTCTACCTAGCAACTACAAGTTATGCACAAGTGAAATACTCATTAAAGTTAATTCTATAAATGGATCGAAAGTATCAGCTCAGCAGGTTACAATAAAAATACAGTAAAATAATATTAGTTTATTAAGAAGGATAAGGGGATTTAAAGATTATAAGAATGGGCATGCGTCATGGATATTTAAAGAGAATAAAAGTAGAATTAAAATGATAGGTTTTTTTTTTTTTTTTTACAGCAAAAAGATTGCAGAAACAACCGTAATAGGAATAGCCATAGAAGCCACGGTAAACGTGGAAGAGGATCCAGAACTTTGAGCAGAGACGGTTTGACCTTCCACAGAAATACTGGCTGTAGCAATAGCCCCTGACATGGGATCAGCAGCAACCGTGGAATTTGTAGGAGATTCTATAGCTGCAGGTGCAGCCATGACAGAAGCAAACAGTAAAGAAGAAGTGAGAATAAGAGTGAATTTCATGTTAATTGTATAAAGTAATTTTTTTTCTTCTGTAAACGAAACTGGACAGGGCACTATTTATATGAGTTCTTTTGACAAGATAAAGAAAAGCTGACGCCTGGTTGTCTGTGTAACTCTTATTTTCATATGAATCTTTTCAACCACTTTTTTTTCTAATTAGATAAAATTCAGGCGCGCGTGCGCCATGACGGATGATACCACCCGCCTTTATTTTCGTTGATTTGACTTTTTTTAAAAAATAAAATAGTCATGATGGGTGATCTGTTCCGATCCGTTCCCTTGACCTTTTTTACGAAGGATTGTTTAATATTACATAATACTTTCTCATTATTATGCTATTATACAAAAAAATGATACATATTGAAACATTTATAATGAAAAATATTAACGACTATAATGATATCTATCATTTTTTTATAAAATACAACATCATACTACATTTATGGTCGGTGCCTTGGTGTAGGTTCCCCTCTCTCTCTCACTAAATATGGACTTTTTTGACGAATAAAGAGAATCAGGATACCAGTCAAACAGTACCGAATAATCGAACGATTGGGAAATCTAAATATAGTTGCTAAAAAAGACTGATAACGCAGCTTTTTTCAATCCCAAAGAAAATACGACGTCAGTTACCGAAATTGATCCACAAGGAAAAAGGTGGCACGACCCTAATCCTGTTATCTTTTGTAAAACAAAAAACAAAAAAATATTCCAGTTATTGTGCTTAATTTTGGATGACGAAGGTGGTTTAAAATATACAATTTATCTAATGTATATGTAAAAATACAATTTATTTAGTGTATATGCAGTTTGGAGGATTCGTTTATAACACTTTTAGTTTCTGGATTGTGGTCCTGCATATATCAAGTGTACAAGAGATAGAAAGCATGGTTTTTTTAATCATTCATGATTAAAAATCTGGTGTTACTGCTTGCTTGTAAGACCCTGAACTACAGTCACCGTAATTTCTTTATGTCCTGCTTCTTAAATACATCAGTAAGAGCGATAGGTTTTTTTTTTATGCTGATTTGGTACATTGCAATATGACCAATGCATGTTAATACCGTATTGGTTACATGAAGGATGGAGGATAAGAGGTAGTATCTATCTCAGTAGCTGTTTGAGAACTACCTAAAAGTCTAGTCAATCCCAGCCAAGCTTGTTTTAAAGTTCGAGGAGTTAAGATTATGCTTTTATCATATTCTAGAAGAAACCATGCTAAAAGTTTTCACATATTTTACAGTGGTTACAAGCAATTCTATATGAATGATCGTAACTGGGAGGCAAGGAGGATAGCATAATTCTGTAAAGCGTTCCTTTTCTCAAATATCCCAAATATTATCTTTTTCTCTTCTTAAGTGAAAACAAGTCTGGAGGCGCAATACCGCAAGTAGGGCCTGGAGTTGTCGAAGTCTAAGAAACTTTTTCAGCTTGCGGTGCATTATACCCTCTCCCTTTGTAGAAGCAGATGGACTGGCATTGTCCTCACTGAGTGTTTTCATTCTGTTTTACCCTTTACTTTTGTAGATAAGGTTTCATATTTGCAATAGTAAAAGGCTTTTTTTTTTCAGCTTTATATAAAACCGTCCACGTTTTGAAACCTTGAAAGAGAAAAGGGTCCATAATTATGTATGAAGTGCTGTGGAGCTTTGAAGCTTGTCACGTACCGAAAAAGATTTTATAAAAGATCGTAATGAAAGAACAATGCTCTTTATTAATCAAACACTTTTTCTGAAAGCATAGAATTTGGGGTTTAGGTATAATAACAACTTGTTCATTCCACACCCTTTAAACATGTCATAGTGTGATGTCCATGATCTAGATGCATAACATATTTGTACGTGGTTCTATCATTACTATTGTCATTAGACGAATCGAACTTCTTCTGAAGCAAAATACAATGTATTGCATAAACTGTCCAGGCTTATAAAATAATTAAGAAAGAAGGAAACTTTCATATATCCCATTACAGTTACCAATTTGCCTCTTTCAGTTATCGTTAATAATATTGGGTTCCGGTGACAGGTATAGAGTGATACGACATACCATAATTACCTAGCTCAATGACTCTTATTCTTTTCGCAAGTAAGCTTTATCCCCCCAAAAAACTTGATATTTTGTCTATGAGTCAAATGGTTGTTAGAACCTGTGTATCAAGTCATCTTACCCCACATTGGTTTCGTCTAACACTTTCAATCTCGGATAGCCAACCAAATGGCTAGAAAAAGGTTAGCAGTCACTGATCTTGCACCACCGAACCCTCCTGAAAAGAAAAAAAAAACTGGCTTGTTACTTTTTTTTTTTTTTTTAAACAAACTAATGAGTAATTTTATTAATAGTTTGATAACTGGATTCTCCAACATTCTTACTGTTGGACCTGAAGGTGCCAAAGAAGAAGGTTCATGTGGTAATGGAGATAGTTGTTGTAAAGATCAACCTGCCAAAAAGGAGGAAAGTGGCTGTCAAAGCGATGCCTGTTGTTCCACACCTACTCAAGTCAAGAAGGAAAAGACTGGCTGTTGTTCCGATAACAAAGAAGAAAACTCCAGCGGCGGATGTTGCAAGACCGAAGTAAAGAAAGATGAAGTTGCCGCTGGTGGTTGTTGCAGTGGCAAGGAGGAGGCATGTGCTTGTGAGGGAGAGCAAGGTCCTGTTGTCATCGAAAATTTGAAAATTATCTTCTCTACATTGACAGGAACTGCTAAAACAATGGCAAGTGAAATTGAAAAGAAGGTTAAAGATAATACACGAGTTACTGTCAACAAGATCGATATTATGGATATCACCGAATACGATAACGACAATTTATTGCAAGAGACAGCTGTATGTATCTTTATTTTATCTACTTACAATGTTGAAGGTCCTTTAGATTGGTAAGTTCATATGTGTGCCTATTGTCAATTACATTTGACATGATACTCATTTCTTTTATTAGGTTCTCTAACTGGCTTCATGATCTTCGTTATGATTTCCGTGTGGATCGTGACGCTTTAAAGAAGTTGCGCTATGCTGTTTGTGGTTTAGGTGATTCTGCTTATGGTGATGAATTCAACCTTGCTGCTGCCAATATCGATAAATGGTTAGGTAGATTGGGTGCTACTCGTATTTATCCTTTGGGTGAATGTGATAAAAATGCTGATCAAAAGGGTCAATTTGATACCTGGTCCAATGGATTTGTATCCGAACTCGAAGATAAGCATAGTTTGGAATTCTCCCCTACAGATATCTCTTACCAGTCCGACGAAGAAGAAGATGAGGCATCAGGCGAGGAAGCAGATATTGATGTGGATGGTGGATCTGGTGATGAAATGGTCGATCTTGAGGATATGGGTAACATGGCCACCAAGATTAAGGCTGCCAAAGCCAAGCGTGCTGAAGAAGAGGAGGATTTCGAAAACAGTAAAGCCAAGGCGAAGCGTATGATTGGTGTTGATGACAATAAGCCTAGAGAAAGAGCTGTTGCTCCTCAAGCTCGCGAAATGGTTTCTCCCATGATCCTCAAAAACTTGACAAAGCAGGGTTACAAGGTCATTGGTTCTCATTCCGGTGTTAAAATTTGTAGATGGACCAAATCTGCATTGCGTGGTCGTGGTTTCTGTTATAAGCATGCTTTCTACGGTATCCAAAGTCATTTATGTATGGAAACAACTCCCTCTTTGGCCTGTGCTAATAAGTGTGTCTTCTGTTGGAGACATCACACAAATCCTGTTGGAACCACCTGGAGATGGAAAGTTGATGACCCTCAGTTTATTTTGGACGGTGCCATGGAAAACCATTACAAGATGATTAAGCAGTTGAAGGGTGTTCCCGGTGTGAAAGCCGAACGTTTCCAAGAAGCTTTTACTATTAGACATTGTGCTCTTTCCCTTGTCGGTGAGCCCATTTTCTATCCTCATATCAATGATTTTGTTACCATGTTGCACAAGAAGAGAATTTCTTCTTTCCTTGTCACCAACGCCCAATTTCCTGACAAGATTGCTGAAATGGTACCCGTCACTCAACTCTATGTCAGTGTGGATGCCGCCACCAAGGATACATTAAAGAAGATTGATCGACCTCTTTTTAGAGATTTCTGGGAGAGATTCTTGAACTGTTTGGAACAATTAGCATTGAAGGGACAACGTACTGTTTATCGTATGACTTTAGTTAAGGGTCACAACACTGCTGAAATTGATGGATATGTGGAATTAATTCGTCGTGGCCAACCTTCATTTATTGAAGTCAAGGGTGTCACCTATTGTGGTTACAGTGGTGCTAGTGATTTGACTATGGCCAATGTTCCTTTCCATGTTGAAGTTATTGATTTCTGTCAAAAGTTGGTTGCCAAATTAGATGGTGATTATGAAATTTCTGCTGAACATGCTCACTCTTGTTCCATCTTGATTGCTCACAAGAATTTCAAGGTGAACGGTGAATGGCACACTCATATCGATTACAACAAATTCTTTGAACTTGTCGAATCTGGTAAGCCTTTCAACAGTTTGGACTATATGGCCAAGACCCCGGATTGGGCTGTTCATGGTCATGAAGCTGCTGGTTTTGATCCCGATGAGACTCGTTTCTATCGTAAGAACAGAAAGACTGTTGAGGCACCCTCTAATCCTGATATCAATGCTTAAATCTATTTTTTCTCTATCGTACTTCCATCTTTCATATATGTATATCATTCTATTGTCTTTTTTTTTATTATTACTTTTTTTTATATATATAAAGGATTAAAGATTATGTTTTTTTCTATATTATTCTAAATGTATGAGGGGTGTGTTTACATGATGAGTGCCTTGCGTGGCAAAATAGAGAGGAGTGATTCTACGATTCCATATCTTGTCAAAAACATGGCACCAAATGCGGTGGCATATAAGGCTAATCGATAGCCTCTACCGATTTGGAATAAAGTTTTAACTAGCGGTAAAAAAAAATAGAATAAATACAAACGACGTAATCATATTGATGTAATTACTCATGACAAAAGAGACTTACTTGGTGGAGGAGAGAAAGCATAATTGAGGTTTTGACCTGATTTCAAGGCACAGATGTGTAAAACGGGTGAATGAAAGAAACCATAGATGCAAAATGATAAAAGTGCCATGTTTTTCGAGGCGGGCATTACCAGGTATCTACCACTATAAATCATGTAAGCTGGTGCGACCAAGATTAAAATATGCTCTAATTGTTTACGTTGATGATTAGCATTCATGTCATTTTTCAATTTAATTTTTCTTGTCACACAATAACAAATCCTCTCTTTACCTGCAAAAAAGTTAAATGTTTCTCCAGTTAAATAGTGGTCTCTCAAGTCAGGGAAGAGCAAGGCGGCTAAAGCTCCCCATTGTGTGTGCAAATAGATATTAAATAATAAATTAGTTGCAACCGAGCTTTTGTTGGGATTAGCCAAAGTTAATAATAATAAAGCTGCACTCATATGACAAGGTTGAAGCATGAATAATTTGTTTTTTCTGATGACCTTGTGGATGGCAGTCAATGAGAATGATCCCAACAAAGAAACGAACAAAAGTTTCTCTGTTCTGGTTGCAGGTCCTATGGGTGTAAAAGACGATAAAAGCTTCCATGTTGTACTGGATGGATCAAGCACCTTTGTCAAGAAATAATAGGATGCTGCTGCAAATCCAGTTGATAAAAAAAAGAACTCGATAGCATGTTGACGTGGGTGAAGGTACCTATTGAGGTTACAATTAATATACATACGTCAAAAAAAAAAAAAAAAAAAAAAATCTGGCATACCATGATCCTTTGGTGGAGTCTTTCCAATCAGTTTCGTCAGGCACACCCTTAGCAATGGATCGAATCCATTTCTCCATACCATTATATAAAGGTTCAAGGGGTCGGTTAAGTACACTTAAAACTGCCATGGTATAATTCGATTTGAAATAAAAAAAAAAACAAAAAAAAAATTTTAAAAATTTAATTAAGAAAGCCCTTTTTTTGGGGAAAAAAGAAAAATCGGCAAATGATAGTTCGTACCTTTTTTTTTACAGGCTGACGCAAGTCATATATGGGTATTCTGAGCTTTAAAAAAATTCGTAATTCACATGTCACTGTTTGGATGATACAACTATGACCTCTGATTTGAGAAAAAAAAATAGCACACATTTGTTCTTTTATGTAAATTTATTACGTAGTATGTTGGATATTGTGAAAAAAAAAAATGGTAGAGGAGTTGTAAACTATAGTTTACAATTTAACCGAGATATCAGAATGGACAGAGAATTCACAATGGTCTTTATGGGACGATTGTCTCTTATTTCCTACATGCTTAAAAGTACGCCTCTTCATGTTGTGAGAATACTTGGCACATAGCACCAATGCGTTCTCCTTATCAGATCTTCCATGAGCACTTCTTGTTTTAATTTGCCTATCGACTGTGGAAGATGCTTTCGCCCCATCCTTTGCTGTAGCAATGGCATAAATACCTTTAACATATCCGTCGACTGTCTTTAAATCATGAATTTGTCTTCGATTTGATAACCTATTTGCTCTTCGGCTTTGTGATTTTTGGTCATCAATCAATTCGGTGCCCAAGTCATCCTCGTAATCACTATCATTGTCGTCGTCAGCTGCTGTTGCGGGTGTCGGTGTTGATTCATTTATCCAAATAGATTGTATACTATATGTCTTTGGTTGTAATTCTGCTGCATTCATTTCCATGACTTCTGAGTACAGCGTACTCTTCTCAAACGTTGTATTCAACTTTGACCATTCGTTGTCTTCCTCCAATGGGATCAAGATATGCTGTCCCTCATCCTCATGAACCTCTCTTCTTTGCAAAAGCTCCCAGCTTCCGCTCGTCAAGTTATGTTCATTAACTGATGAGGAAGAAGGCAAAATGGGAAATTCAGAACTGTTTTCAAGCCATTCACGGTACACCTTTGTATCAGAAGAGTTTTCTTTCTGTTCGGCAAATGCAATTGGGAAATCTTGTGTGGTAGTCATTCTTGTTTTCACGAAAATAAAAATATGTTTAACAAAAGGGAGAAAGAAAAAAAAAGAGGGGATTACAAAATGCTGTTATCAATGTTATTATTAACAACTGACTTGCATTTCTCAAATCATTTGGAATCGTCTGGTGATCTACCCGCATGATGAAATAGATATGCGGTAATTTATTACCGCTTTCCTTTTGTTGATTATTATTGATGGAATTGACAATCATATTAAACTGTCTCTTCATCAAACGTTCTGTACCGATAGCTTCTTGGTTCATAAGATATATATGCATACGCCTCATCCTTAAAGGACTTGGTTTCACAAAAAATGTTGCACATTGCACTACAAAAGCTGGACCACTTTAAAGATCCCCTTTGATTAATCAAAAGGAGACTAATCAAAAGAGGGGCAAGGTACTGGGAGTATCGTCATTTACAACAATCAATAAAGCACGCATTTTATGACTGCTAATAACTGGTTGGTCTTGTGATTTGAACTTTAATTTTTACTCGGTCTAAATATTCATGAGAGATTCGAAGCCTTGAGAAGCCTGTCAATTACTTTGCAGTAAAACAACTTTCCGATTTAGTTCTTGTATAAAGAAGATATCTTAATAGCTCGTTTGAACATTAGATGCATAAACCTATCGTGTATTTCAGATTTAAACACCTTCGTTAAATCCATTCCAGTGTATTGATCAAAACAAGTTCGATGTTGTTTTAAATCACGACATACTCTAATGTCGATGATGGCTCTAAGAACACGATCATTGTATGTATGAAGTTTATAATCAAATATTACAGACAACCAAGAGCTTCTTATTCGTAGCCCCACAATTAAATAAAATGGTAACCCTGATATTGATTTATGGTTTTTTTTATCTTAGTAAAATGAATGCATGTGAAACTTTTGCATGAACGCCCATTACATCAGCTTATAAAAAGACAAAGTCACGCAGATTAAATGTAAAAAATAAAGGAGGGTGAATAAACATACCTATGGACCTTTCTCTTTTCTTAAACAATGATAAATTTGCCACAAGAAATTTTAATATCTATCACAAGCTTGTTGACAACGCGAGATAAACTCAACTGCATTCGCGTTTGCAAGAGCTGGTACAATATCATAGCCAGTTCCAATCTTTATGACAAGCTTGAGGTTAAAAATGATTCTGTGTTTGACATTCAAGCAGCAGTAGATATGTTTCGAAAAAAGAAATATGTCGGAGATACTGTGAAAAATTTAAATATCAAATGGCCAAGCCTTAAACATTCAGATATACTCGTGTCGTTCCCCAAACTGTTTCCAAATGTACGTACATTACACGTCGACGAGGAATTTTACAACGCAAGACAATTTCCCAGTCCAGAAGAGTTTGATTATGCTGAAACGTTCAAATGTTGGAACAAACTCGAAACTTTGATCGACCGCTCTGAATATTTAGTGTTTACAGAACATATCTTTAAGCATAGTAATCTGAATACTTTGAAACGGCTAGATATAGCGACAGTAGATATGTATGCTAGGGAGGAGAGCGACAATATATTGAAAATACTTCGTGACAACATTCATTGTATACCAGCACTTCAAGAGTTATCTTTGGTAAATCCTACTATCAGATTGGAGGATATGGAGGTGTTACACGACAGCATTCGAAATTTAAAAAAACTTATACTAAATATCAACTGCTTTCATAATCTGTGGTTACAAGAACGAGCTGTCTCTGTTAGTACCCAGGCAAGCCAACTTAAATCGCTTACGCTCTATATCTACCCAAATTCTATTCGTGATGATCAAGAAAACTTGGACGAGTCTGTTCGTAAGTGGATTTCTTACATTGGTCAAAAATACAAGAACCTTCAATATCTTATGATAGAGACGTATAGCCAACGTACATACAACCACTATTTATCAACGACGATGGAATACGCTGCAATGAACATGTTATCTGCTTTAAGATATATCAAATACCTTGGTATAGATTTATGTCCTTTAACTAAGAGAATAACGAGTATCATGGAATACAACAGAATACAACTAAATGGCATGGTTCTTCATTTAAACGATACTCCACAGAATGAACAAATGATTGATTCTTTAAGACCATCGCAACTAATTAACAAGGTTGTAAAACTAACAATCCGAATTTCTGCTCTTGTTATCAGAAGAATGAATGAACCATCGTATCTGAAATCCAGAGCTATCAAGCTACCAGAATTGTTTATAAACGTTGTTGATTTGACTGTTTATTGGATTCCTGAAGGATGTGCGACAATGCTACTTAGCAATCTTATTCAAAGCTTCCCTGTGCTCCAAAAATTAGAAACTGGCCTTGTAGATTTCGGTGTAAGCGAATCAGAATTGGCCAACAGTTACCATATCAAAGAGTGTAATACTTTGGAGAGTATCTGCTTCAATCTACGTGCAGGTCCCCATCAAAAGCGAACAAACCGATTTGAATTTAATTCTTCTTTCCAAGCATTATTTCAGGCATGCCCTCAAATTGAAACAGTCCAAATTACCGGTGAATTGAACGGAGTATCAGATGAACATGATAAGGAACTCACTTTATGCTTTAGCAAGAATATTAAATTAAAGCAGGTTTATATAAGGTTGGTTAGATGTGATGGTTACTCAATTAATGGAAGCCTAGTCGAAAGAAAGGAGGCGTCAAAATATCCTTTCGATGAACAGTTACATCATCTTAATCTAGTTATTCATGAACCATCATACGTGACTGTATGGGCCTGGTTTCCAAACCCTTTTTCTTTTTAATCAGGAGTGACAGGATGCGTGGTGCTACAAGTAAAGTGCAAAGTATGATGTTAAAATGACAAATATTAAATAAAACATGGTATTGAACCAGCAGAAATTGATGTCATATATTTCCCTCATAAGCTCCTTTGATTCTGGGTAGTAAAAATCTAAAGGTTAAAATGTGTTGTCTTCTGCAATTGGGTTAATGATGAAATCAAGTAAGAACAGCGGTTTATAACTTTGTTTTTAGGCTATCTTAATTACATATCAAGATTGAATTATTATAAGAATCTTCCTAAATCAATTGATAAACTGTTCATGCGTAAGATTTAGTCATTTAAGGAGTATAAAAAAATGATGAAAACAAACTCTCTAAAATGGCTATTTGTATTGACCATGGGCTCACATATTTAGTACTATTTTGAATGACTAAATGTACTGGGTGCATAGATTCTTCTATAAAATAAAGAATTGGTATCTGTCTTTTTTATTCCTTTTGAAATACAGTAGGTAAATATTACAATGTATCAGGCTAAATTGACACTGTAAGCTGGGTCTATTCATTGACCGGTCATCGCCAGAGATCAGGCATGTCTGGTCGGTAGTTACACACTCCAAGTGTTTTGAGAGAAATATGCTAAGCCCACATTTTAATTCTTTTGGTATACTTTAGCATTTGCTTAAGAATAGAATGTTCATGGTCGACGAACTTGATAATATGAAGTATTATGGAAATCCATTTGAGTGGCTCAAATGTATCACATGTGAAAAACGTAAGGCTGCTTTGAATCAAAGTTAAGAGTTTCATAACTATACGATTTATTATTACAATGATTTTAACGTAATCATAGGCGTTGAAAATAAAATTATGATACACAATAAATTTAAATTGAGAAAGGGCATGCTGGCTTTTATCCGACAATCCTAGCTTGAACTGAATATTCTTCATTGTCGGGAAAGTGAGATCGTTTCTGTATCGGGCGTTTATTGAAGTAATTGAATAAATATCGCTTTGTGTTGTGAGAGAATCTTGCTGAGTAACGGATGGCTATATCTCTGTCGGAAATGTTGCTGTTCAAGAGACCATCTGTATATGTCTCCAATCGCGCACGATCAAAATTCGAGAGGTCTTTTTGGTAAGGGACCCAATCAACCCTTGTTTTATTATGATGGCTAGTTGCTAAGTTAAGAATACCTTCCACATGTAAATCAACAATCTTTAAATCATGAAGTTTGCGTCGATTGGTCAGCTTGTGTGCTCGTCGGCTTTGTGACTTATGGATATCATTTAATTCGAGAGCAAGATCTTCCTCATACACATCTTCAGTATTTTCTGCCTTGACTGTCTTTTTGGCACTGATGTTGGGCCAAAGAGGTTGGATAACACGTTTAGTGGGTTGTAATTCAGCTGCGTTTTTTTCAACTACAGCGGCATACAGCTGGTTTAAATTAGATGTACTGAGCTTAGACCAAGAATCATCCTCAACCATAATACAGGTATGGTCTTCGTCATCAATTTCATTTCGTCGAAGTAATTCCCAGTTATCGCCATTTAAAGGGTATTCGTTGAAAGCCAGGCCAGGAAATTCGGAGCTGTTATCAAGCCATTCAACGTAAAAAACGTTATCGTCCTCAGTCTGATCCTTTTGTTCGGCAAATCCTACAGGGAAGTCGGCTTCACTGTTTTTAGACATATTTTGTAAAAGTAAGGGATAAATTAAGGGATAAATAGACAGTATGAGGTTTGAAAAAATAATCACAAAGATCCTACTTATGTATCATTTTTACTTGCTGCGGTTAATTACTAAACCGCAGCATTGGAGATAGCTACCGCGCCACAGTAACTTAAGTGTATATTAAGGAAACCCCAGCCGCAGTTTGTGCATTTTAATATGCATAAACTCTTCAATCAGAGAGAAAAGTTACCCCATAATCTGATAAAGAAAATTGTAATCTACAATTAACAGAGACATTGAAAACCATATATTACATCTTATGTCTTACCAATTTTTCAAATTATAATAGATCGTATTTTAATACTTGAGTACAATGTTGGTTAAACAAGAACCGGACATGTGATCTTATATCATAAGAGGTCTTTATAAAGCAACCATCTAGATGATCGTTGCTCCGGAAAGAATGATATTAGTATAAAGTCATTTGTACTACATATAAAACTATTCAGCTGACATTTTTTAAAAACCCAATAGGTTTGAGTATCTGTTTTTTGAATGTCTGGATGGAAGATATATGACAAATATTGTCACTTCGGGAATGTATTGACTTAAATGTGATATGACAGCAATGTAACGATTTAGCTTTCGTAAAATTTAATTGTCTTGGTGTCAAATACAGTCAATAGACAATGTTTTCTTCTTCTTGAAGGGGGTTGTATGTTTTTGATTTGCCGGTAATCTCTTAAACCGTAAATTAATTAATCGATTATATACCACATAGCGAACAATCAGTAGTATTGTATTTGCATGTGTTTACTCTTTTTACTTCAAAGATAATATATTAATATGTGTAATCCTGACAGAATCTCCTTAATGCTATTAGGAACTGTGTTGGTAATGGTAAAGTAGTTTAAAGTGAACGCTTGTCGTAGGGACAGTCAAAGTGCACGTGGCCGCAATGTAAAATTTGTGGTTTGGATGTTCTGTAGACCTGGGATTAAGGATATGCAATTAAAAACAACGTAACAATTACGAACAAATGTATATTGAACAGTTTATACTTATTTTGATAATTCTATCATCACTCTTTCGCCTTTGAGCTCGCTTGATCTTAATCTTACGCAGAAATATTTAGGTAAAGCCCAAACGAGAAGCTGAAAGTAAACTGTAAAACACATATACTGGTTTACACTATGTTGGTTGTGATAAATGTGTATATATTTCAAGTTGTTAAGTTATATTGACCTCTTGATGTCTAATAAAGTATCGTAATCCCAACATTACGACTACGCGCATCCTGGCTGTCCCTAAGAAAATTTGACTGTCCCTGAGAGACCCGTAAAGTGAATGTATTTTTGCTGTAAAGTAAATGTATTTTTGTTTGCTCAACCGAATCGTTTTCAATTTTATATATACCCAGTTGTATTCAAAGATCTTCTTTGCTATTGTGCGAAAAAATTTATAAATAAACGAAAATAAGAAAAAGACATAAATACTGTTGAAATAAGTGAGATGTAGTAAATGGTAATATTATTTTGTAACTAAAAAATGTAAGTTTACTTTATTAAGAATAGCAATCATGAGGCTTAAAACGAAAATATGATACACAATTTAAATTGAGGGGGATGCTAGTCTAAAGGGGTATTTTTTTTTTTTTTTTTTTTTTTTTTGTAAATAAAAAAAAGAGAGAGAGAAATTATTTGACGATGGGAGATTGAACAGGAAATTCGCCACTGTCAGGAAAAATAGGTCTCTTTGAATTTGCAGCTTGATTACCGTACTTATATGCATAACGCTTTGTGTTATGAGTAAATTTTGAAGAGTAACGGATGGCCTTATCTTTGTTTGAGATATTGGTATTGGTAAGACTATCGATATAGGTTTCCAGTCGAGTAGGATCAAAGTTCGACAGGTCCTTTTCATAGGGAACCCAAGTGACGGTAGTTTTGCCATAATGGCTAGTTGCTAAACTGAGAATACCTTCTACATAAATGTCAACAGTCTTGATGTCATGGAGTTTGCGTCTGGAAGTCATTCTGTTTGCTCGTCGGCTTTGTGACTTATGGATATCATTTAATTCGAGAGCAAGATCTTCCTCATACACATCTTCAGTATTTTCTGCCTTGACTGTCTTTTTGGCACTGATGTTGGGCCAAAGAGGTTGGATAACACGTTTAGTGGGTTGTAATTCAGCTGCGTTTTTTTCCGCTACAGTGGCATAAAGCTCGTGTGAATCACGTGTGCTGAGATTGGACCAAGCATTATCCTCGACCGGAACCAAAGTAAGTTCTTCATCATCTAATTCCTTTCGTCGAAGTAGCTCCCAGTTACCACCGTTTAAATTTTTTTCGTTGTTGGAAGAAGATAAACCAGGGAATTCTGAGTTGCTATCAAGCCATTCAACATAAAAAACGGTATCGTCCTCAATCTGATCCTTTTGTTCGGCAAATCCTACAGGGAAGTCGACTTGTTGGAGAAGTGCGTTGTGGGTAGACATATTCTGATGCTTGCAAAGATAAATGATAAATAGATAAAGAAAAATCAGAAATGTTCTCCTTATATATCATTTATTTTTGCTGCGGTTCAGTGACGACCAAGATAATGTTCCGCAGCATCACCACTCACCACACAATATTTATTCCAAACACCGCTCAGTAGCTGAAAATTCTAAAATCAGGCAACTAAAGCCGCAGTTTTTTTACTAATGCCAGATTAATAGTATACAGGTTTTTTTATGAAAAAATGAAGATCACGTAAATTTTATAAGGGTTGTGTGATTTCAATAACAGAAAGTTAATGTGAAGATAACAGATGATCCCCGTTTGTCTCTCTAATTTGTCCTTTTAAGGCAATTATTCCTGCATTAAAAACAATAGGAGTTTTACAAACCTGTTAGTGTGGATATTCATAGCAAGGACTATCTATGTTAAACCAATCACCATGAAGCAGTCGAAAGTCACTTGATTATTAATCAGGCTATGGTAGCTGTTGACGCGGAAACTTCCATTTCACCATTAGATGGTTCCATAAATGCTGCGGTCTTACTCGATAAAAAGCAGGATTTTCGAAAGTTAGGAATACTTGTTGTTTAAACGAGTGGCGTCTGCTTAGGCCGTATTATTGGGTGCAAAAACCCATGGCGAAAGTAAAAACAATGTAATATGCTTCTGTCAAATGAAAGTGCAGAGTTAAAAGAGATAAACTTCTGTCAAAAATGTATGCCTGCTGTATTTTATTGAGTATTTTAGGCCCGTATTTCAATCAAATTTAAACTGTGGCGCCATTATCTGATTTTTAAAACGTTTTTGTCGTATTTCATTACAATTCAGCTTGCCCCATTGTTATAACATGTGCTGGATTATAACAAAGATTATACTGAATGTAATTCCTATTGTCTAAAGACACAATGCCTGGTTAACACAGCATTCACTCTGTGATCATGACTTAAGTTGTTGTGTAACACATGTATGTTAAGCAGGAACTCTAATATTTAACAATGGTTAAGGGAGTATAAGCAGCTATATTTTTATGAAGATTCCGAACATTAAACGACTAGGATACTATAAATAAGTATTGTTTCTTCTCTATGTTATCATTGCGAAATTATCTGAAATTATAAATCGTACCTATATAAAAGGACCTCTAATTCTATTCATAACAAACTTTCCAAGCAATAAAAAGTCTTATTTCTTATTCCGTCTAAACGCTGCTAAATACGAAATTATCACGCCTTTTTTTTAACAAATGCGACATTATCTTGTCCTCGTGGCAATGTTTGGTCTTCTTATACTGATTCAGCACAAATTTACTAGGAATGCTGAACTATTCACGACCAAAGACGATCGACCACGGAGAAGGTCGGCCAAAGATCATACCTTACGTCTTGTTTCAGAAGATTACAAAACAGGAGTGATTCCTGCGTATCAATTGCCAATATCGAAAGCAAAAGCTAAGTTGAAATTAACGGCTTATACAATCCAGTTCGGCTATACAAATGCACTTGACTTCATGGGGGAGTATTTTTCATTCCAATGCTCCATTCACAACAAAAAAATACCGCGCTCGTTACAGCACGTCAATGTTGGTCACACGCAAAGTCTTGTTGATAGAGTAGTGAAACGATTGCCAGTGAATAAAAAAGGGCAAGGAAAAGAAATCCTTAGCGTTTGGGTCGACGCGTGTCTAGAATATGGAAATACAGTCGCAGCACTGAGCAAAACGCACGCTAAAGAATGGAACGACTTGATCAATACACGACTTTTAAATATTCGGATTTATAGTAAAGCAAAGGGACACGACGAAAGAAACCAATTGTTAATTAATGCAGTGATTGATAAAGATACCATCAATTTCAAAAACGATATTCTTAAGCTGTCTAGAAAACAACAAAAGGAAATTTACTGTTTAAGCCCTCCTAAGGTTTTAACAGACTTAGATATTGCATTCAAACCTATCAATAACCATTTTAATGACATACTATCGAAGCTTTTTGGTAACACTCAGTATTGCATGGCAAAATATCTTGATGAAGTATTAGATCAAGTTTTGACCATGGCTACGACATCCCATTTTACAGGTGCAGATACGAAGTTTATGTTTGACAAGAGCGTTTCGGTTAAATTTTCGCTACTGGAGAAGTCCCTGGAGGGAATATGGGTTGATATTCCCAACAGTGTCCTACCATCCCATCACTCATCAGACCCTTGGCAGTTATTTTTGAATATTTTACAGTTTGTATGGACTTGGTTGTGTGATTTATTGAAAAAGTGCCTTGACAATGAGAACGAAGAAAAAAAGAAACTTATTTTTGACGGCGTTGACTTCAACATTTAACAACAAACAAACAAATTTAAAACCTTCATCGCATACATTTATACATTTTTCCGAAATTCATTTTTTTAACGCGAATTCATATTAAAAAAATAAAAAACTTCCCCATCCTATCCTTGGTGCCACATCACAGACGATATGTCTCGATAGTTTTTATTTATAAATTATTTACAGACCCATAGAGATATATTTAACATTAACATAATCATCTACACCCAAGTATGAACCCTCCTATTATAGAAAATAAAGTTATTACGACTGCGGATCCCGAGTTATGAATAATACTTACTCTGCCCAAACCAGACTCCTTGACACCACCGAAAGGTGTGTAACAACTAGAAATAATACCAGTGTTGACACCGACCATACCAGTTTCCAAACGTTCAGCCACCTTCCAGCAACGTCCAACGTCACGAGAAAAGAAGTAACTAGCCAAACCAAAAGGCGTATGGTTAGCAAGATCAACAACCTCATCTTCAGTTTCAAACTCAAAGATAGCAGCAACAGGACCAAATGTTTCTTCAGTGTGAATTTCCATATCGGTTGACATCTTTCCGAGAACGGTAGGTTCAAAGAAACTACCACCAAGATGTTTACCACCTGCCAAAATCTCGGCACCCTTGCTGACAGCATCTTCAACATGTCTTTGTACTTTTTCAATACCCTTCATGTTTATCAAGGGACCATGTGTAGTATCGGAATCAAAACCATGACCTACTTGGAACTTGTTGACCTTTTCAGCAAGACGAGTAGAGAATTCCTTGTAAACATTCTTTTGTACGTAGATACGATTGGCTGAGACACAAGTTTGTCCAGTACCTCTGAATTTACAAGCAACAATGTTATCAATGGCAGATGTGATATCGGCATCATCGAACACAATAAAGGACGCGTTACCACCCAACTCCATTGAAATCTTCTTCATTGTACCAGCAGATTGAGACATCAAAAGTTTACCGACAGCAGTCTAAAAATAGTATTAGGCCCCGGTATCCGCATATCCTTATCCTCTATCTTATCTTTGATTGTTTGACTACTTACAGATCCTGTGAAAGAAATCTTCTTAACAATGGGGTTGGTACATAATTCCTTACCGACATCAGAGACATGCTTATGGGTAGGAACAACATTGACTACACCAGCAGGGATGCCAACACGCTTAGCAAGCTCACAAAGAGCTAAGGCAGAGTAAGGGGTCTCGGCTCCGGGCTTGATGACCACTGTACATCCAGCAGCAAGAGCAGCACCGACCTTACGGGTAATCATAGCAGCGGGGAAATCTAGGGAAAAGATGGGTGTTAAAAATTTTATAATATCCCAAAATGCATATATGTGTTACTTACTCCAAGGGGTAATAATACCAACAACACCAACGGGTTGCTTAATGGTAAGGAATCTTTGGTTGGGCATATGAGAAGGAATGACAGTACCATAAGTACGGACGGCTTCCTCGGCAAACCACTCATAAAAAGAGGCGGCATAGGCAATTTCACCCTTAGCTTCGGGGAAAGTCTTGCCGTTCTCCCAAGTCAAGATAGTGGCAAGATCATCTTGGTTTTCCATCATGGCTTGATACCACTTCAATAAAAGGTCATGGCGTACTTTACCAGTTGTTTGAGACCAGCTCTTGAAAGCTTCAGCTGCAACATCGATAGCCTCCTTAGTCTCTTTAGCTCCCATGTCGGGTAAATGACCAATCTCTTTGTCAGTAGCAGGATCTGAATTAAATATGGAGATGGTCAATTATCGCGTCCTTGACAACAAGATAAGAAAAAGAAAGAAAAAAAAATTTACCATGAATAACAAAGGTATCAGTAATATTCTTGTTGGTCCATTCGTTATTAATGAAGGCAAGTTCTTTGAATAAAGATTGATCCTTGAGCTAGTGAGGCTTTTTTATCAGTTTCAGAAACGTCAATATATCTTATTGCGTTTTATTTACCTTGGGAATGGTAACTGAAGTTACAATAGTTCTGGCAGTGGGTACACTCATGGCAAATTTTCTAACAGTGGGTGCGCGGCAGGTATTTAAACAAGACTTGATATATGTGTTCTGCAAAGCAGACTTGAGCATTTTATTTAAAGAAGAAGAACACCCAAAAAAAAAGGGCATGCGAGCTTCTAAATTAATAGGACCGTGTTTTTAAAATAGTTCGTGTGAAATCCGGAACTTCAAACCTTATTATTCAAAAGGAAATCCCGATAGTTTCACCATGACCAATAAAAAGAATTTTATGCCCTGAGCAGTAAAATTATTACAAAGATTGTTGATCTACTTACAGTAAAGCTGGGAATATTGTTTAAATTAGTGATTATAGATTTTCCGGTCTCACTGTAAAGGAAAGTAGCACAATGTAAAAAATGGAGTTTACAGAGAGACTAAAATAACGCGGAAGTATAACTATATTTATGACACCCATTGTTACTTCGTCTTTTATCTTTATCAAGTTTTACGTAATTTATATGAATATTAAGGGGAGGGCATACTATGGCCTTTAGCCGCAGCATCATATTTTCCAATCACGAGTTCAGCTCATTCGTTCTTTTATTGATGTTCTGTTGGATTGAGTGATTCCGCGTTTCTTTTTCTTGAAGTCTGCTCCAAAATTAAATCCTCCCAATCCTTGCAACTCATGACATCGGCTTCAGGCTCTATATTTCATAAGGCTTGCAATATATGTTGTTCCAACCTAGTGTCCATCTTTCCGCAACTGCTAGTGGGTCCACCAATATTTCTTTACTCATCTTGGTGTTCTAATTCTACAGTAGTTTGTTTACAGTATTTACCATTTTTGATGACTATCGGACCGAAAGAAACTTTTATCGTCTGAGGAAAAATGCAACATTTCGAGTTGATGGGCATACTTTGCTTCCAGAATGATATTTAGCTTGGTATGATTTCTGTATACCAATTGTCTTAAAGACAGGACTGCCGCCAATATTTATGCAAATGATGCAGCGTGAATTTCTTCTTCTGAAATATACCGAGTGCCATATAATGTAAGCTTTAATCCTTGCCATTGGCAGGTGACAGCTTCAAGTTGCTTCATGAGTTGGACACTTCCAAGGCGGTCAGTCCATTTAATCTTGCATAGTGTTATATTGATAAAAGTACCTAAGAGACAATCATTTTGGTACTTTTACACATTGGCAAGCACTTTAATGAGCTATTGTGTCGACATAAGGTATAATAACGATGACTACCTGTAAAATGTCGTTAGTTTTTTATTCATTAGCATAGCTTTCTGCAACGCTTTTTCTTTTCAAATATCACGTTTCACACCTTTTAAGCCAAATTTTTCTCCTGCTGAGAGGTAGTCATTATCGTCATTAATGCTTCTTAGAATTAAAATCTCACACGCCACCAGGTTTAGGCCTGGTAAATTTCTTTTTGTGATTGCGGTGTTGATCATGAGTGCCTTTTTTTTTGGCAAGAGCACCCTCCTCCCTTCGCTTGACATTAGGCAGAAAAAAAAAGTTCGGCATTAAAGGTCTAATGAATGCTCGTAATATGTGTATTGATAAAAAAAAAGTAATTTATTCGTAGTCTAAGTCCGCATTTATTAAGGCGAGCCTCCCGCTTTGCTCCGCCCCAATACATTTCAATCCAATTACACTCACAGTGGTACTTTGGATATAGCTCAAAGATGTGCCCCGCATCCTCTACTATTTCTTGAAGGGCTGATGTCTGGCTACAGAAATCCGGTCGAGATCCCAAGAAGTGACGGGCACAACAAATCTTGCTGGGTGCTATGACTGGCGATCCACACTCCAACTTCCAAGCTTTGCCTTCGATGTCATGGCCGATCCATTGTCTTCTCTCCTGCAAATTGTTTTTAATTCCCTTAAAGTAATGTACTGTCTTGGTTTTGGTACTATTTTTTTTGCCGGTAGTTTTTGTAACAGCCTCGTAAAAAAAGGACTGTTCAAGAACCTTACCATTTGTCAAAGTAACAACGGTATCGTGAAACTGGTACTTATTGGTGACCGGCCAAACCTTTTCGTTCAAGGTCATTCTGTTAACTACAAGAGCTTCATCGATTGTCAAACAGAAAAACAGCAGTACAATCGGGATGTAGAGCATCAAAAAGGCCAATAACATTATCCTGAAGCTGTTCGACCATATGTTTGTAGGTCCACCAACCTTCTCTGCTATCTCCAGCCTTGAAGATTGTCCTGGAAGTCCAATTTTTGATTTTCATTGTACCACGACAGGGACACTGGAACTCACTGATCATGATTGAAGATTCAGGTCCTTTCTTACGAATATGGTTCTCACCATCCTCCAGCCAAAGATCGTTTTTACCATCATTGGCGTAAAACGTGCTTTTATCCTGGGTTACGAAAACAAGTTTTTTGTCACCGTCATCTAACGTAGGCTCCAAGATATTCTCTTCATTTTCCCCAGTATAGAAATCCATTTTCTCCATGTACTCCATCATTCTTCTTGACCAAATATCTCTGTAAGCAACCGCATCTTCACGTTCATGACCGTCAAAATAGATCATTTTCTTGTTTTTTCTGTAGGCGTATCTCCATTCGTACAGGTACTTGCTAATTGTTGTTTCAGCAACAGATCTATTAGCAACACCCAAAAAGGAAGGAACAACAATATCATCAATAAACTTCTTAATTACAGCCAGGGATCGCTCAGCTGGCTTGGTCTTTCTCATCTCTTCAAGGATCATCATCTTGAAGTCTGAATCATTATGAAAAAAATTTCTTTTGTTATGGACGCCTTGACAATGGTCAGAAAGTTTGCGCTCCTGCAAAAAATCATTTGACCACTTGATAATTGTCATAGTCCGATAAGAGACGTTATTATCATGCCAAAACTGCTTTGCCGCATCGCGTGAAGCTTGGCTCTTGTTCATTTCTTTGAGTCTTCTGATAAAATAGCGGCTGATTGAGAAATAACAAACAAAGTTGTACGCCAAAAACTTACTATCTTCTTGTGACTTATTCATGATAGGCTTAAGAAAATACTGCACTTGCAAAAACACTCCATTCATTTTAATCAATTCCTTCTGACTACGGTTCAAAACAACTTCAAGCTGTGTAGCCTCAACAGCGATAGGTACAGAACCAAAATCGTTCGGTTTTGAGCGATCTTTAAACAAATTCGATTCAATTTTAATTCCCCATGGCGTAATTCTTGAAGTGCTTGTGTAAGTTGTAGGACGAGTAGACTGTCCAGCCATATTGACAATAATTATGTTAATGGGATTCTTAACCATCGAAGTAGAAATACGGCTCCCAACTAAAGAATGCAATTCTTGTACGTCTGTTCTGTTGTCAACCATTAGCATCAACTGATCTGGTCATAAATACACCTTTTTTGACGTTATTAATTAGAATAAGCGCGTTTCCTCGCGTTGAATGGAGGCGTAGTGTAACAAAGTGTACAGAGACAAGTAAAAAGAACTTTTGTGACGCTTTCCTTGAACTGTCAAAGTGTTGATTGTTTGATTGGTCACCATAATAAATATTTGATCGCGGAGATCAACTACAAGAGCTTTTATTCCACGTCTTTCTTTGACCTTCCTCGATATGCATGTAAAATAGGATTCAAAAAAGTGTAAAAAGTTATCAGATTTAAGCTTGGCGCACATTATATGTCAACTGTTTATATTGTCAAGACACTTATTAAAGGGAAAAGGCAAGTTATGATTTTTAACGAAACGTTAATAGAAAAGTAGTATGAAAGTGAGTATCAGACCGGAAGGACTTAACTAAAGAAATTTGTTAAGTCAAGAAATACATAGATAGCAATGATTTTACGAGAGCTTTAACAGAAAATATTAAAAAGGGGAGTGATTATGATTATTTTAAACGATATCTTATTAGAAATTTGATAATAAAGTAATTACGAGCCGAGTGTGGAAAATATTAACTTTTGCTAGTTGTTATATGAGAAGCTCAAACCTAAGATAAACAAGACACATGATAGTTGAGGGAAACACAGAGTTAAGTATACTTTATTAAAAACTCGATTTTTAGTCAAGATAGATATTAAATTGGCTGTAACAATATCCTCGAATTCCTTGGTTATATAGGAATAACAATCAGCTCTTCTTGATGTAAATTGATCGTCATATATGAAAATCTGTCAAATACAGCTGAGTGCACATGTGAGCAAAACCATGGCTCGTCATGATTGGGTTTAAGCAGGACACGCAAAGACTAAAGCTCAGCAATGAAACTAGTCGGATAAATTGATATAATGGATCCATCTTTTCTTGGGATTAAAAATGAGATAACCCCTTTGCAACATCCTCTCCATTTTTATAAGTGGTAATCCTCATCAACCTTACTCTTTCACCTCTGGTTATCGTAGGCTGTAAAATTAAGCCCTAAGGTACAAGTGGTTTTTTTCGAACATTCTTTAAATCGAGCGACAATCTTGTCAGCCGACAAGTGAAGTTATCATTCATGACCAAACTTAGCACATAAAAATGGCATTATTTCAATAGGTGCCGTATTTCTGATATTATCAGTGCCATTTAACTGACTGCGATCTTTATTTTGCTCGTCTTGTCGGACTGTTGTTGAAACATCTTCACACAAACGTTTTCTTGTATGGTTTGCGATGTTGATAAGCTTGACGATTTGGGAGGACGTACATATTTTACGAATCTAATCCATTTGCAGTCTTTCCACAGCTACTCAAGGTCCACTGTTGCAGTGTCACAAAAACACGTCTTACGCGTGCAAAATACGCGTTGCAGTTGTATTACGCGCTCACCACGGTTCAAAAAAAAGCAAGAATCGCAAACAATTGACTTTCTCTTCATCGTCCGAAGTGCTGTCAGCGCTTTGATTTCTTAAAGTTTTCCAGACATTTATTGAGGTATAAGTCTCGCAATTTTTCTAGATATAGGTAGTAGACTCAATCACCAATTGGCTATCGATCAACAGCTTAAGAACGGTTTCAGACTTACACTGAGAAATAGCGTGATTTGAGCTACAATCAATAACAATGATACAGATCGAATTCTTGTCCGCCTCCAAGCTTAAAGAGTAGAGCATTTTTTGTGAAGAATGGGTAACGACTCTTTACAATGCTCATGAAGACAACGTCTATACCTACGTCTTAATTTAAATTCTCTGTGTCTTTTTTAGATCCACCTGATCTATTATTTTCCTTAAATATTTTGAATAATTAGCCTTAAAGCAATATTTCGACGGGAATACTAGATATACAGCTTCTTTTTTTTTTCGTCATCATTTCAGAATAGACAAGTTGTTGCTCTTTAAAATGCTTGACGCCTTGGAATCCAGAGACAAATACTTTAAGCAGAAGAAGGTTGCGGTCATATCAATCCAGACTAACTTGCCTAAAATGATCATTCACCAGACACGCTGGAGGAACAGTATGACTTGGCTGAGTTCACAGGTACTTTGTATTTGTATGGCAATTATTCGAATGTACAATGAGTCTACATAGTTAAAAGATTGACTTTATGTAATAGGTTGCCTGTTTCATCCATACCGACATAAATCCAGAAAAAGTCAATTTTGTTGGCTGAAACAATACATCGATAACGAATTTGCTTAATTTAAATATAATAGGGGGATGGGACGGCTTCATATATTTTACCAACATGCAAACAATTATGCAAACATCGCGTTTTTATATGATGAACATTTGTTTCCCTTTTTTTTCTTGAAAATCAGATTAGTGATACGACATTTTATCTAATGTAAGCTTTTTTCATATTCCAAAGATGTACAACATAAACATAACATACTTCACATCGTGTTCTCTATCTACATCTATTAATATGTATGGCTTGTTCAGGGGAGAAAAATAACAGACCTTGAGACAGTCAAAAATTAAAGTGTAATTCATATGAGTGTGTAACCGTGTAGCACACAATAGATGTGTGTTATCAAAAATAAACTTTGAAAATTGACAACAGTCTGAGAAAGAATTATTAATTTCACTAACAAAGTTTCCATATGGAGGGACCTATTGTGAGCAGAGACTCTATTCTATTCAATCAGAGAGTAATCCTGACTCACCTTTAGAAAAATAAACATACAATTTATTTGGTAAACCACTAGAAAAAAAAAAGAAGAAAAAGCTTCCATGACACGAAAAAAAAAAGGTGTGCGCTTGTTGTAAATGCATTGTTGAACAAAAAGATATTTATAAATTTAAAGTTCTGTGCACAATTATACACATTTTAATCATTATGGCGTATCCCCTTAAAAAAGCGGGGTACGTAATCCTTAACAGATCCATGTCTATGATTTAAGATATACTGAAAACTCCCTTTATTTCAATCGATAAAGAGAATGTTTACCTGAATTATTTACTTGAAAGTTACACAGCTCAAATCCAAAGATTCTTTGTATCACGTGATAGTCAATGGTAAAACTAGAAATACAAAAGAATCAAAAATGTTGCTAATCGTAAGACTGGGACTTGTTTGTAACATGTTATCACGATACATGTAGTCAATGCTTGAATGAAATTGTATAAATAGCGACCCTCTTTTATTTGCTTACTGTAGTCAGGGTAAATATACATCTTTTATCATTATAAAAAAAATGGGATCTTGTTGCGGTAAAGGAAGTCCACCTGTACCCCCCATGTGGGTATAGTCTATGCAACTAAACTATATAGTCCGCCGTTTATTCAAAAATCAACCAAATAAATTTTTTCTGACTTCTTATGAAGGATGCAATTTATCCAATAAGACATCCATCTGCTTTTTTTCCCAATGCATGAAAGAATTTGTAATTTTTTATGATAAGAGGATGTTATTTCGGCCGTTATTTCTCAAGAGGTATCTTGTATTTCAGGTGATTGGCTAGGTTTGGTGTAATGGTGCCTCATTCCCTACACAAAGGGATATAATCTGTAGATAAACCATGATCACTTCCCACATGATCACTTTTTTTTTGACAGTAAAAAAAATAAATGTATTAATAGCAACATCAGACAGGTGATATCAATATCTGTGGTTTAGTTCTAATATACGTCATTGTTGTGTTACAGAATTTGATTCAAATTATTCATTGTCTTGACGTTCATTTAGTCAGAATCTTGATTTTTTTATGTTTGATTTTTCACAGAACTCATTAGACTATATTTGAACAATGGTCATCATGACGAGAAAATAAAGACACAATTTATTTTTAGTTTATGTATGTAACTGTAATAGAAAGATGATCTTATCTTTTACCGAGATTTAGTCAAATCTACTTCCCTCTCACACAACTTTTTTTTTTCTTTCTTTTTTTAATTCTGCTATTAAAAGCGCAGTTGCATGAATAGTTATTTTTAGAAAATAAATCGGGACACAAAAAAAAAAAAAAAAAAAAATGGGCCAGGGATAGACAAGAAATATTGGGACAGCCTGTCGTATTTAAGGTATAAAGCACTCAGGTATAAATAAATAGGTATTTAATGATAATTATTTACATTTATTAACCTGTATAGTCATGTAATGACTAATATTACACGGACAAAGAACAAGTTCTTAAAAATGTGATAAACCGAACATATTACAATGTCTTCAGTTGCTTTAAGATACGGGGCGGATTATATTTTCGCAAATATCTACGAAAAACCAGATGGCGTCGCTAAATAGTTAAAACTTATTACTAAAATGAAGACGATCAACATTTTGATTAACCTGCTCTGCTGAATTATCAACTGAGTCGTACATCAATTACGGGACGCAAGCTCCAAAATATACATGACCAGTTCCAAATATAAAAAAAAGTTCAGTGCTTTAAATTAGAACCCTTCTAATCTCAACCTTTCAAATTTGAGACAACTGACATCAAGCTTTAACAAATGCTAATCATATTCATAATAAAGGACAACGTTCCATGGATTTGACATCAGTATTTAATCACCTGCAACCTCATTCACTCTGTGTGACTTACCCAACCACAATGGGTATGGTGTTGGACCAAAATCTGGTTAATAAACTTGGATCAAACATACTTCAACTATTTGCCAAAACTGTACTCGTCATCAGACCAGCCTACTTCTATGATGTCTTGTTGGAGTATGCGGATGTACTAAAACAGGAACATGATTTCAAGGAGTGGTCATCCATAACTAAGTTAATGAATGAATTGAATACAGGTCTATCTTTTGGCGAATTGAACGTCATTTCATTCTGTAACCGAAATAGTGGATTTGTCAGTGATATGGCACACAAACCAAGCACTGCCATCTCTTCAGCAAATAACACAATTTTCAAGAATTTCAGGAAGAAGCTTTTACGATTATACCGGTAGCTGGACGTATAATAATTTCATCAAGCTTTTATGATATTCGTTAATAAAAAAATGACAGGATTACTTAAAAAAAGCGTCCTATTTTCAACATTACCTATTTTTATCCGCTGTAGAAAGATAAAAATAACTCGCTCTTAAAAAAGGGAGGGAAGGGATGCTTACTTCCATGTGATTCTTTGCATATGAAATGTCGAAATGCATAACAAAAAACTGTATGAAAGGAAGCTAGGGATGAGCTAAAAATATCATCCGAGTGAAATAGTTTAATTGTCATTTAAGCTTTGAACACAGAAACTGAATTGTTTGTGTATTACAACATTTGTGTAATTACCCGTCCTGCATCCTAAAACTTTTTTTTAAACCACAGCAAATTTGAGTTTTGTTGAGAAAAGAATTGGACACTGGCTTCAAAAAGATAGACAGAAAATGCAAGCGAGAAACACCGGTTGTCCCCGGTTCTTATGTTACATTAGCTCAATAATAATAATAATAATAATAATAATACAATCAGCCAAACTCTATTTAGTATAGCAAAAGATAGTTTTTGAAGGTTAGGTTAGACAACAATGTTGATAAAATGAGTTCGAAATATCTTGGTTGACGTTTTCAATTCTGCATCAGTGTATATAAGCATCTAGGCGATCAATCGTTGTGCACAAATCACACAGTTATTATATTTAATATGATCACTCTAGTAATTTCGGTGTCATATATAAACTGGACAGGTAGTTAACCTTGATATATATGAACATGTCATCTAATGAAAAACAGAACAACCGGCCCATTTAAAGAACATCGATACGCCGTATGATTCGAAACGTAGATAGATACAGTAGTTATCAGTGAAAGCTATTTAAAATGCTAGCTCCTCTTACTTGGTTTGGTGAAAGAAACAAAAAGCTCTTGTCCGTTATAGTGATGATCTTGTATTGGAAAAAGAATTTTACAAAAAGTTCAAGTAGAGACCATTTATACCTCGTATGTATTGATGTAGCAATTACACTCATGCTCCTCTAAAAAAAAAGAGGCAATGCTGAACAGGTATGATTGTCTTTTTAATACAAGTGATAGAGAGAGTAAACAGAGCCTAATTCCTGTTTTTAAAATATTTGTTAGACATCCAGTGTAACAAGGGAGTTTGTAATTACCCATTATTCTTAACCCCCTTCTTCCCTGAATCCCTTTTAGTGTAACATGGACAATTGAGAGATAATGATTTAAATGCATGAATATAGAAAAACCTTTTTTATATGTATAATTCTACCATTTAAAAACAACAAATTTAGAGTTATTGCAGATCTAAAAAATGTTGCCCTCTCCTGCCTGCTTTTTTTCTTTTTTGAAAAAAAGAAGGTTATGAACCCCAATTCCTGCGCTTAGTGTGACATTTCGAAAACTGTGACACACACGCATGGTGGACAAGAAGAGAGTTTTTTTTTTTATTTTTGTTTACAGAAGAATTACCGTTTCCTAAAATGATGCAAGAAAGAAAAAAAGAGTGACCATTTTTTAGTGCCCAAGTAACAGTCAGCAGTTTGGAGAAGGGGAAAAAGAGATGACTTTAAGTGATACAATGAGGGCTGTTGAGCAGACAGACACAAACAAATTGTCAATGACGAAAAAGTGTAATCTATAAATTTTCTAAAAATAAATCCTTCGTTTTCCCTTTCATTATTGTGCCTCCTACATTAAGGTTCAAAATCTATTATAATACGTCTACCAGCCACTGTATTCACGACAAGAGAGAAACCATAACTTTTTTGTGTGTGGGCTTATCTTTTTTTTTTTTTTTTTTTTTAATATTGACCTAAATAGGAGATCGAGAAAAGTCAATATCAAAAAAGGGAATCGGTTCGGGCATTTTTTTTTTTTTATTAGTTGTGTGCGCAGCCACTAAAAACACCACTTTTCTACAGTGTGCAATGAAAGAAAGGGAGGATTATTTAAACCACATAAATTAAGCTAAAAAGAAGTGTTGCATTTACAATCATGGAGCGAGGGTGTCTCTCCCTTTTGATGTGTTTTTTTGGGGGATCTGTAGGTAGCACCGACATAGTCTGCGGGTAGTGAACGCGTAGCGAAAGAATACAATGCGTACATCCCCAAGGGTAATTAAAAAAAATAGAATAAAAAAATAAAAAGCAAATATTATGCCATTTGGACACTAAGGATTTAAAATTGAGATTGCATTGTTTTTCTGTAAGGGAAAATTGCATATAAAAAAGATTGAAGGGAGATGTTTATCTTAACAATAGGTCAGTTGGCTCAGCAAGTAAAAAAAAAAAAAAAGGTTACCCAAGTGTGTATGTGTGCAACCCCAAATCTAAAAATATCCACGCAGTGAAAATATATAAAAAGAGGAAAATCTTTTTTTTTCTTCATTTCTTTTCCTCGTTCCATACCCCGGATTTAATAATACAAACAAAAAAAAAAGATGCAACAAAATAACATGTACATGTGGACACCCACAACGGATTCAAGCCATGTAGGTCCAATGGAAGATGATATTGAACTGTTTGGGCAATTGAATCAGGGTATGACGTATCCAAGTCCATTTGATTATGCACAACCTCCAATGCCGAATGCCAATGAATATTTCCAGCAATCCTCTGCCATTTATCCCATGGTTTCCCCTATGGTCTCCCCTCCTACGGTCGATCTCACTGAAGCGGTGGCGCGTATGAACATGCAAGATTATGGTCACAGACAAAGATTGTCACTCAGCTCCAATCTGAGCTTGGACATCCAACCTTGTATCTCCATCACGGAGCCTACACCCATTCATCGTCTAAATCAAGTGGATGATTTCATTGATCGACATTTCACACAACTCAGTCAACAACAGGAACAGCAGGAACAACAAGAAAGAGACAATCTGACACAGTTGATGGACCCTTCCTTTATTGATGATTTATTGCTTGCTGAAACCGGTGATGGCTCTACAACAGATTGGCTTAGTTGGACACCAGCCAGAGGTAACTCACCTGTCTCTGTTGGTAGTCATTCATTTGAAGATAATCAGTCTATTTACTCAACCTCACCCGAGCCCAATTCCTTCTTTAATCTCTTGATGAGTCAACCACAGGAGCCTGTACTCGGTAGCAGTTATCCTTCACCTTCTTACTCTGAGTTCAATAATAATACATTATCTGTCAAGAAATCTAACAATCGCTCACGTCGAGTATCTGAACCTCCCAAGCCTTCGTATTCCATCTTTGAAGAACATTCAGTGACATCTAACACAGATAGATCCGTGCGTCGAAGTCACAGTGATAAACGATCCAGGTCAAATTCCAATGCGTCTCCCTTAACTAGCACGGCCAGCCATCCATGTCTCTATCCTGGCTGTGGCAAGTCATTTACCCGACCCTACAACCTCACCTCCCACATGCGTAAGTTTACCTTTTTTTTTTGAAGGAGTTTTCAGTTATACTCAAACTTTATATAGGCACACACACGGCAGATCGTCCTTTTGCATGCACTGAATGTGGTCGTAAATTTGCTCGACAACATGATCGTAACCGACATGAAAAGTTACATTGGGGCGTCAAGCCTTATGCTTGTAGCCATTGCAAGAAACCTTTTGCAAGAATGGATGCATTAAATCGACATTTACGTGTAGAAAATGGATGTAGTAGCAATACGAGTCAACCATCATTTTAACCGTCTTCTTTTTTCCCTCTCTCTTTATATATACCCCCCCCCCCCACCTCCCCTTCTTTTTTTTTCCTATGACTGGATTTATTGGAAAAAATATATATGTATAGCTTGTAATAAATGTGTGCGTGTGCTGATATTTGTTTATAAAAAAGAAAGTAGTGTGTTTATAAATAACTGTTACTGTTTTGAATATTGTTATTTTAATTAAATCGAATTTAGAGTGGTAAGAGTCTCTTGTTTGACACATAATGAATATCTTCCATTTGCCCCCCTTTTTGCGTTCCGAAAAAGGATAGATAATGTGCTCTCTCTCTCTCTCTCTCTTCTCCTTTTTTGCAGTAGAATCCCATAAGCGAAGTTTTGAAACACCGTTATTATCAACTGGGGGAATTGGAACCCCCTTTTTAGGCAAAACTTGATAAAAAAAAAGAGAGTCCATTCTCTCTTTCTCTCTCTCTCTCTCTTTTCTCTTTTTTTAAACATAAAATAAATTCTTGGCAAAAAATGTACGATGGCAAAAAAGACAAAAAAGATGAATCACTTGGATTACATGGTGCTGCCATGAATGGCAATGTGGGTAAAATGAAGCCTCTCAGAGATAAATAAAAAAAAAAAAAAAAAAAAAGAGAGAGAAAAATAACATTCTATATAAAGGCCTTGTCAAATTCGCTTTAGACCATGGAGCAGCCATTGATTCTGTAGTGAATGGATATATGCCTTTACAGTTGGCTTGTATCAGTGAAAATCATATCGCAGTAGTTCAGTATCTCATCGATCGAGGAGCCGATGTAAACGCTCAAAGGTGAAATATATATATATAATGTTGTTGCACACACACAAAAAAGTGTACTAACCACACTAAAAATAAAAAAGATGGTCCAAGAAGCATGTGGTGGATAAGTCGCAAGCAGTAGCAGGGGCTACTGGCTCCACTGCGCTCCATGTCGCGTGCGCTAACGGTTGTACCAAAATTGTTGATTTATTATTAAGAAACGGAGCCAAAATTCATGTCAAGGATAAATATGGATCGAGGCCTATTGATGTCGCTGCTGCAAAGCATCACGTGGAAATCGTCAAATTATTGGACACCTTTGCTTCCATGCAGCAAATGCTAAAAGGCTTACAAGAGGGTTCAACAAAACAACATAGGATCACAGAAGAAATCGGTAGACGATCGATGGATGCTTCCCTATACACACAACAGCAACAATTAAGAGCAGACCGTTTACGTAGACCTTCTTTACCTTCTGTCTTTGAATCTCAAAAACTAGATATTCCAGATATCTCTACTTTACCTCCTTTACCAGCAAGACATAGTTTAAATACACCAAGACCTTGCCCCGACGAATTATTAAATTTGTCAAAACCAAGAAGATATCAGCATTATTTTCAACCTTCTCCGCCCGTAGCAACCCCTTCCCTCATCTCCACGACAACCGATATTGCCAAGGAAGATTGGTATAGTTACGGTGTGGTCAATCACTATGAAGATGAAAACTATTTGACTTCCTTGGAGAGAAGAGCCTTTGGTATGACCTCACCCACCCATACCCCCTCTGCCTATTTCAATGACGGGGACGAAACCGCTAAACCTGTACGTGCCTCACTCGATCATCGTCGTCCTTCATTAGACTCGACTCCCTTAAAAAGATGCAGTTCGGATGGGGGACATCTAAGAACAACCGCACTTAAAAATGCCATGGCTGCCAATAACATTTCTTTACAAGATGACGAGTTTGGCAATATTATTCCTCTCGATGAAGAACTAGAAGATGAGGAACTAGACGAGACAGAGGAAGAGGAACCAAGACCTTCCTTGTATGACGAAAGACCCGATCTAGAGGCCTTGGAAAAGGTTAAGAAATCATGGTTTGCCACAGGCCGGAAATCCGTGGATGTTTACCCAACAGGTCGACCTTCGCTTGAAAATAGAAGAAGCAGTATGGATTTCAGACCAAGCTTTGATGGACTTTCTCAGTTGGCTAAAAAGAGTATGGAAGGTTTATCTCGTAAGAGTATCGATGTTGATTATGTACCGGAGGATGGTACCACTAAAAAATCAAGAGGTTTTTTGGCCAAATGGTGGTCTACTTCCACTACTTCCAATAACGTGAAATAAGCTATTAAATATACACACACACATAAAAAGAAAAAAAAAAGCTGTTGATCAGATATACCCCCCCCCCTTTAACCACCCCCCTTTCATATAAAAACTTATGCATTTTTTTTTTTTTACATATATGCACCCAAAATATATAAAAAAAGTCTTTTTTTATTTATTTATTTAATATTATGCAGAGGGTTGAGATTTATCAAACCAAAGTTTAACAGACTTATCCTGATCAATAGAACCGGATGCAATGATATTCATGGTAGGATGACAGGCAATACAAAGCACGACATCTGAATGACCCTCTAATTTCTGCACGATTTCTTTGGTCTGCAAATTCCAAATGTAAATGTTTTGATCCTCACTGCCACTCACAATCCATTTGCCACCTGTCACACTAAAACTGGCAAAGATGCAGTATTTACTATTCTCGTGTCCTCGGTACGTCTTTAGACATTTTCCCGTATGGTAATTCCACAGTCGCAGCGTGTTGTCCAGTGTGGAGGCAAGGATATATTTACCATTCGGTGAGAACTTTACAAACGACCTATGACATTCATCCATACATTAGCCTCTTTTTTTGTCTTTCTCTCTCTCCCTTCTGTTTATCCTTACACAGGTGGATTGTCATCGTCAACCAAGGTTTTTAAGCACTGTCCACTTGCTGTATCCCAAATACGACTACAAAAAAAAAAAAAAAAAAAAAAAAACACATTTTTAGCATAGACTCTCACAATCGATACCAAATTCTTACATTAATCCGTCGTGACTGCAACTGACAATCATGGTTCCATCTCTGTTGAAATGCACTGCAGATACAGGATCTGAATGTGCTGGTAATGTCTTCATACATTTTCCTAACGAATCGTTTTTGTTTTCAGCAAAAAACAAAGCTACACGAGTTCATGCAAGATGGCTTACCTTTTTTGACGTCCCAAATCTTTATACTCTCGTCAAATGAGCCAGAGACAATCAAGTTGGATTGAGGGTTATAATTGACACAAAAGACATAGTTGGAATGACCTTTCAAAATTTTGACGGTATCGCGCTATAAAAGAGAAAGGAATGATTAAAACAAAGACAGGAGGTGTGTAATAGAAAACGTTACAGTAGCAAGGCTCCAGATACGAATGGTACGATCATCCGACGCTGAGCACAAGTTTTGAGAATCAGAGGACCAAGCAACATCTGAAATACCTTGCGTGTGGCCTTCCAGGGTTGCCTCGTATTTTCCATCCAATGCATGCCAAATCTTGATGGTTTTATCCGCCGCTAAAAAAAAAAAGATGATTAGGAGACTTTTTTTTTTGAAAAGAGAAAAAAAAAACAACTTACAGCAACTGGCAAGCCATTTACCGTCGGGAGAGAATTTGACACTGGAAACAGACATACGATGACCGACCAATGAATATTTCAATTCGTATTGAGGTCGACGTTGTTCAGGACGGGCTTTGGCTACTTCGGTAGCGTCTGTCTTTTTTTCGGCTGAGTCGTTACCGGTTTCTTCTTCCTCGCGTGGTCTCTTTCCCTCCTCATGTTGTTCTTGCGTATTGCTTTCCACTATTAATGACATAAAAATTTTTTTACTTCATTATTAAACTTTTTACTAATAAAAAAAAACTTACTCTTTTTGAAAGTTTTTTTTTTTTTAATTCAAAAAGTTGTATTTTTTTTTTTTATTGAATGGTTATCGGAATGAACAAGACGTATTTTTTTAGAGGGTAATTTGTATTGTTATTTATATATGTATAAAAAAAAGAGGAAATAACAACAGCAAAAGTGTGATAATTATATAAAAAAAAGGGCGTTTTTCTTTTTCAAAAAAAAAAAAAAAAAAAAATACATATAAAGAACCCTGTGACTGTCTTTAAGGTCGGAACGGCTTTTGGTCATCAGAGGGTGAAAGGGGAAAATGATCCATATAATCCTGACCAGGATGTACAGTAGTCGTTTCAGACATGACACCCGTAGAGTGGCGACTGCTCAGTGGATGTGATCCTTTACGACCCGGTGTACTGCTGGCCAAAGGAGACACTGGAATTTCAAAACTAGACGTCAGACTCTGCATCGTCTTGGTCGCTGTCTCTTCAAATTCTTCATCTGTACGTGTGCTTTCGGCTGTTTTTGACATTTTGAACTGTTTAATTAACAGGTAGCTTGTAATTACCCCTAAATTAGTGTAATCAGTAATAGAAATATATCACCCCCGTGTGTACTTACAGTCAAACGAGTATAGATCGGCGGATAATCCACCCATCACACGACAAGAAATCAATATCGCTGTAACAATGTTGGAGAGAATCACACCCACACTAAGCATGTCCTTCTTTTCTTTAATAACTTTGTAATATCCACTAGCTCCCCAAAAAAACTTACGAGAAAATCATGCCACTGGATAACAAAGATTTGTGTAGACTATTTCCAAAGATCTTGTAGTGACGATAAATCACCATCAAGAATGCAAACGATAAAAATACATTGCTGGCAATATCCAAACCTAGTTTTGCTAATGCCGGCCATTCTACTATAAGTTTTGATTGTCAGTATGTATTTTCTTTTGCTGTCATAGAAACTCACAGTTCTGCATCTATATACGCAAATTAGTTTAATATGGAAGTAAAAAAAAAAAAAAAAAAAGGGGGACAAGAAAAACTTACAACACAGTTGCCTAGGAGATCTTTGTAGGTAGGAACTTTACCCAAGGTAGCGTAAATAAATGTTAAAGCAATATAACCCAAATTAATAAACGATCCAAACAAAAGTAACCACGTGGATCGATCATAACAAATATAAGCTTTATACAATAAGATTGTTTGGATACAGCATCCGCCTAAATTCACACAAATAATCGACACCCAGAACCTCTTTTTTTTTCAATGGGGAAACAAAAAAAAGTTAGGCTATCCGTTTAATTCGATATGCATGTATATAACAAACGTACAAACTCGCAGCTGAGAGCGGTTAATGGGTTAAGGATACTACAGAGAATAGAAATGAAAGAAAGAAATGTTTCAAAGAGGACAGCAAAATGAAGCCATTTGCGCACCTTATAGGCTAATTCACCGGCGGTCAAGACCTGCCATACGGTACAAGTCAGACAGATACTCATGTAGACCAGCGTCGATGTAGTGTGTCTGAAATAGCTCTTGGTGCCTTCGTTGAGATCTTCGAATCGAATAGATTCTGCAATAAGTTCCTTGAACAAAAGAGCATTCGTTTGATTAACCATTTCATTCATTCTTTGTGAGATACAAAAAATAAAATTATGCTTTTTTTTAAAAAGAAAAAGAGAGAGTAGAAAGGAAAAAAAAACAATTTGATCCATTGGTGTTAGCGTTTAAATAATAGAGCGGTCAAGTTGTGCTGCATGAGAGTTCTCCTATCATTGGAACTTTCTCTATGTAAACTATCGTAGATCAACTATAGAGTCAAATGAAGAAATAATAAGGTTTAAAGAAGTCTTGATTGTTTGACGTATTTAGGAATTTTGATAGTCAAAAAGAAAAGAGAAAAACATGCCTCTATAAGCAAAATATGGGTTCATTATAAAATTAATACTTCATGTGGATATCCCAATGTTTCTTTAAAAGAAATAAAATGGCAAGAAAACTAGGGAGTTTTTTTTTGGGCGTCCATTGTCTTTTGTTCGCTTAAAATGGTAATTTCTTTTACATTAAGTTGTTTGCATGAAATAACTTTTTTTTTACACGACGCTCGTGTCACACTAAAGAAAAAGTCAGGGTAAAAAAGAAGTAATCTTTTAAAAGTTGGCACGTAAATCTCTCACACTCTATCTCTTACTTTAGATCCTGTTCCCTCTTTATTTAAAGTGGCCGATCTTTATATGTTTGTGGAAAACCGTGTTCGTTTTACCTAAATAACCAAATATATAACCGTCAATTGGTTTTGCTTTCCCAAATGTTTCTTCATCTTTGTAAACTTATTATATAAAAAAGCTCTTTTTAAAACAGCATGCGATTCATCATTTAACACTAACATGTTTATCATTGAAAAAGTTCAAACTATTCTAGAACAGACGCATACGTTGGTAGTTCCTTATGGCTAAACACTGACTAGAATAGTGACAGCGTTCGCAAATGACATCACTGTCAAATGGCAAGTCTTTCCCAGATAAACCGAGATACATGTGTTTGCCTCAAAAAGAAGACCAAACCCGCCTTTCCCTTCTCTCCTTTTTTTTTCGTATAATAATTTTTTTTCTGTATTGGTCTGTGATAGATTCGCTATTTTAACCGAGCCATAATGTCATTTCTAACTAGGGCTTGAGCTATTCCGCAATTCTTGCTACAAAAAATTATATTAAAATCTACACACACACACACACACAAAACAAAAGTTCATAGGATAATCGATTGTCTTTTTTCATAAAATATGCTTTACGACTGACACATGCTACTATTAAAACGCTGATAGACAATGGCCAAATAAAAAAAAATGCTTATACGTAAGTTTCAAATTTTTTGTTTCATTGGTTGCGGTAAAAGACATAGTCATGTCTTATCATTTCGTTTTTCATTGTCATACAATTTGTTTATTTATTCAACGGACGATCATGCGTAAAATGACATTACTCCCGTCCCATAAAGCCTTGTAAAATTCAGCATTCAGTGATGCTCAAGTGGCGAGATATAACAGCAGACATTTTTGAGGTAAGGCAAGTGTATGTTGTTTATCTGTGCAGTGCATGTATTAGTATTTTAGCAGTTATATCACCAATTTTGGAGCATGCCGTACATTTTATCACACAAAAAAGTGCTGTAAGGAATTGGAGAAAACTCTTTTTATTTCTGTTTTAAAAAATGAGCAGTGTGAAATCTGTTCTGATATGTATATGTAAATAACTAATTTGACTTTAATGACCCATGACTAGGGTTATTAGATGTGATTTTGTCCTAGTGCTATTACACCTAGGCTAAAAAAACTTACTTAAACAGAGTAAATGCGGACGAATGGGCGAATAGTCGTCTGGGGGTAAGCATCCGTTCAAATCTGAGCGGATAATCGTCCGTGAGCGAGTATCCGTTCATTTTGGGTAAATAAACAATGGTACACAAAAAATAAAATTACTTCATTTACTCAAAAAGGGTAAATATTCGTCCAGGGGCAACTGTTCGTTCATTTTGAGTAAAATATATAGGTTGCACAAAAATTTAAGCTTTTTATCCGTTCCATTTACCTGCAGCAGACGAGTATTCGTCTATGGGCGAGTACTTACTCACATTGGGTAAATAAAAATTACTTTATTCGTTCCATTTACCTGCAGCAGACGAGTATTCGTCTATGGGCGAATACTTACTCACATTGAGTAAATAAAAATTACTTCATCCGTTCCACTTTCCTGCAGCAGACGAGCATTCGTCTATGGGCGGATACTTACCCAGATTGGGTGAATAAAAATTGAGATCCAAACCTTAAAATTACTCATTCATTCCATTTACTTGAAGCAGACGAGTATCTGTCTTAGTGTCCTGCTGTCAAGAAGCCGCGTATACAAAAAAAATTATCTGCCTCCAGTCATCCCTCCGTCGTAACAGCAACCTCTAAAAAGTACATATAAACGGAGTCTTTTTTTTTCCTTTTCTGTTTCCTTTTCCTTTTTTCTTTTTTCTTTTTTAATATCTATTTTTTATCTTTTTACCTTAATAAATCAGTTTTTTTTTAAAAAAAAATTACTTTTATTCGTTCTTGTTTCTCGTAACCATGTAACTGAATAAACGTCTGGGCTTACTTCTTTTGCAATTACACTCTGGTAAACTCATCATTCCATCTCTGAAGTCCCTCCCCTTACTTATCTCTCTTTTAAATCAGCATAGACAGGTGTATAAAGGCCGTGCTTGCAGTGTACTACGCCAGTGCTATAAGTAAGTGTTTTTCGTTTATGGCTTTTCTTTTCTCTAATTATCTCTTCAGACTTAAGCTTCTTGTTTTTACCGTAGTGGCGGCTACTCTGTTTAGAAAAGGAATAGTACGTATCAATTTTGAGTCTTCTTATCATAAACTGACCTAATATTCATTTAGAAAACTTTGGTTATCCCCCTTGTTTTTAGATCATACGTTGCTTCCTATACAGAATAATCAATGCTTTCATGTTATGCCATGTACCGTTTACTTTTTAGCTCATTTAAGTAGTAATCCTTCTACATAGCAATTTGTCCTCAAGTATCAAAATATAAATAAATCTTACTTTCATTCTTTTAAATAAAATATATAATCAACTTTTAAAACTGCAAACCAATTTTTTCAAACGAATGAATGTATTTAATGACTCAATATGTATAAACGAAAGTTTTTTATTTGGCTGAAGGCTGAAAGGGAGAGCTGATTTTAAAATATACACCACCTTAATTATGCATTTAATCCGATTTT